AAGTCAACTGTGGCTAATTGACAGTCAAACCTCATGAAATTTGATCCACATCAACATTTTGAATTCATATGGACCATTTGATCAAGTTTGAATCACAATTCCCCAAGAAATTTGATCAGATCACCAAAAGGGCAAAATGGTCATTTTTAGGGTTTTGACTGCACAAAGGCAAATTTTGACTGTTTGACCTAGCCAATGGCAAACCAAGCTCACATATGGACTCAAGGACCCCATGGAATTATCTTGACATGTTCATCAAGCTCAAAAGATCCCAAGTACACAAGATTGACAGTTGAATTTCCCAGTCAATTGATCAATTTTGACTGTATACTGAAAAGTCAAACTTTGACTTTTTGGTCAAAATCAAGAGTCAAGATTCATTTTTCATCAAAACATGCCAAATCATGAAACTTGTTCACCAAGAAATCACAAAATGCAAATTAGGGTTTGAAAATGGAATTTTTCATAACTTAGAATTTTTCTAAGTTATGGAAAACCCTAATTTTTTCCCAACTTTGCCCCATCTTTTCACCATGATCCATTTGGATTCAAACAAAAGTCAAAACATGAAAGTTGTAGCTTGTTGCAAAATCTACAACTTTGATTCACAAAGTTTTCTCATTTGAAGCTTGTATCTCAAGTTATGATTTTTTGAATAAGGGCACTAAACCATCTTTTAACTTAGTGAAATTTGACCTATTTTGACAAGGTTTTCTACCCTACTTCAAGGCCACTTTTCATACCCTTCCACTTGGAATTTCAAATTGCATTTCAAAGATGGATTGTAGTACACATTCCAAGCTTTCCAAAATGTCCAAGAACTCATCAAACAACCTCATAACTTGAGAGATTCGAATTTCACAAGTTGGCAAAAATTCACTTTTGTTCTTCACCAAGACATGTTCATAAATTTGCAAATTTGAATTCAGTTTGCTTTATGCTTAATTACAGGTCCTTGAACCAATCCATACTCAATAATTTAATGCATTTTCAATGTGTTAAGGTCATGTTCTTTGTGTTCTAACATTGCATAATGGTTTAATCCTAAACTAGATAAAGTGGAATTTCCATTTTTGAAAAGTTTAGCTTTATGTCAAGTTTGTAATCCAACAAGTACAAAGAAGATCTGGTTAACACAAGATTATGGGCATAACACACTGATCAAGAGGAGTTGATGCAGCACATTAGGGGGTCCTATACTGACCTAGAACACCAACTTTGCTTTTGGTAGCTTAAGTGTGAAGAAAGGTCCATAACATATGCTATCTCTCATATCAGCAAAACAACACAGCACAAAAGATATCAAACACATTCCATAGACCACATTGAAGCTTTTGCTCGAGCCATTTGCCTTTCAAACACCCTCCATCTCAGAATCATCCTCAAACTGCACAAACAGGGGTGCCCCTGCAGTTTGAGTGCAATCTCTCATTCCCTTCAAGCATTTTGATCAAAACCTGTTCCTCTACCTTCCTTACCACATATGCAAGCTATCCAGAAGCTAAGGCACGATCTGTAGTTGCTCTAACCACTTCCACCATTTTCACATCTTTGACTTGCAGGTGAAGTTCTATAGCTTGATACAGGAAGTTTCAAGACAAAGTGAGCATTGAAAAAGCATCCCTGGACTTCAAGGAAGCTTTTCCAATCATTACATTGCACTGAAAGTCTCTTATTCTCCACATAGAAGTTCAACTGCACAGGTAAAAGTTTGAATTCGTATCTCTCTTATTAGGCATATTTAGTCTTAAGTTTGTGAAGAAACAAAGTCCTACTCATAGCCCTGAACATGTACATAGCTTTACTTTTCATTTCTTTTGTCTGAGTGAAGAGAATTAGAGCTCTGAAAATGGTAGAAAAACTAGGTCAGAAAAGAGGGGGAGAGAAATTCTCTCTCATCTTGGAGAGATAGGTCATGTTCTTTATATGGTTGAAACCGTCTCTTAATGCTCTACACTTTTCATGTTATGAGTTTTGCTTGAAAGTCCAGGAATCCAGAGTTAGAAAACGCGTGTTTTGTGTGAAGAAAGCTGTACAGAGGTTGAAGAAGAAGTGATCTGGGCTGGGCCTGGATTTGTTTCCTTTTCACACCCCATTTTTTGGTTGACACCCCCCTGAGCCCATTTGCTCATTTTTTGACATTTTTGACTTTTTCTTTTTGGATTGACTTTGTTTATTTTTTCTCATACCATTAAAATTTTTAAAATATTTTTTCCACCACTTTTTGTATTTATGGCATATTTATTTGTTTATTTCTTTTGTTATATACAAATATATATATATATACTCTTATTGAAATAAATAGAAAATAGTGTAGATACATTTTTATTATTTTATTTACTTTATGAAAATATTTTACAAAAAAAAGTATACTTTACTTTTTATTTTTATTAAAATATTTAAATATTTATTTTAGAAAATACATATTTAGGGTTATATATATTTGATTATTAATGTATTTAAGAAAAAAGATATAAAAATACTTGATTTTTTTATTTTATTAACATTTGATACAAAAATACTTTTTTACAATGTATATTTCATTTTAGGTTATTTTTGTAAATAATAAATAAATAGTAGAATTAAATTAGATAATAATACTTTTTATATAAAAATTAGGGTTTCTTACCCTAAGTTTCAAAATACTAAAAAAAATAAATACATTTTTATTTTCTTTTTCCTTTTACCTAAATAATATTTTCTCATACACATAGAAACTTTCTTTTTACATTTCACATATTTATTTAATTTACATTTAATATTGCATTGCAAAATACCCAATTGTTGTAATAATTTAGATTTAAATTCTTGTCAATATCCCCATTCGAACATTTGTACCCCCCTTCCCATATTTGGTTTTGTAATAGCTTAGTAATTTTAATTTCGCACTTTATTGCTTTCTAAATGATAACATGCTAGAATTAGGGTTTGTATGCGAAAAAACGATAAAAAAATAGTTTGACCTAATACAAGATAAACAAGCATGAAAATGGACACACAAATCACACTTGCACCCCCTAGGGTATTCCACTTGTTGCCTTCAAATAAATGGGCCATATTGTATGTTGAACATCTTTGGGCAAAGCAAACAGTTTGAATGATCATAGTCCCTCGATAAAACTTTTCAAAACAAACAAAAACAAATGATCAAGTCCCTTAGAGAAATTGCTCAAAGACATTTAACGCCGTTGCAATTATGGTCCATACGATGACCCGCGCCTGTCCCGTTCACATCCTAACACAAGGTTGCCCACCAAATACAATGGTGGAGCAAACTTGTTAAAAGGGTTAAAGTATAGCAATGATCTTTTGAGAAATTTAGGAGTAGATAACCTCTTAGTTACTTGAATTAACTTGCAAAACAAAACACTTGCCTAATTTCAAAACCACAATCCACAACACTTTCAAAAACAACTTTCAAAAACAAATGAAAACCTTTTCAAAAGATATACATCTTTGTATACATCCCCACATGGATCATTACAAAGGTTGCCACCACATTGGCATCTTTTCAAAACATTTTCAAACCCACACACTCAAGCACCATTTCAAACAATTGAAAACAAAAGGCAAGTGATCTAAGCAAGTAACTAAGAGCCCATGGATAACCATGGATAGAAAGGGTGCTAATACCTTCCCTTTCTATAATCTACTCCCCGAACCCAAGAAAACATCTCAAAAGGTTTTTGCTGTGCTTTTTAACCTTTCCTTAGGATAAAATAAAAAGTCGGTGGCGACTCTTGCTAACCGCAACATTTGCGAATACAAACGCAAACCTCAAGTCAGTTCTCCCACCGTATCACAATAAGTGATAAGAAAGTGTCTCTCACAAGGTGTGTTGCTCATAAAGAAAAACCTCAATGATAAAATTGCTCCCTCGTGTTGACCCCAAATTGATGATTCGACAATATATTATTGAAGTTAATAAACTAGTTCTTAGATGTGCTCCACAAGTACATTCAAAATAAAAGTAAAAAAGTATGAAATTAAGATTGAATTCTGGGTGCAATCGTGTTCACACAATAGTCGATACTTCTTCATACATGTCTCAGATAACTCAAATATAGACCATTCTAACTCCTTTATTATCTAGTGCTTTCCACAATTGTTGATCCATTCGATACTGAATATCACATATGTGTTGTTGAGTTATGAAGAGGAACAAAGATCACACAAATGAATAAAATACTACATATTAATTCAAAATCGTAAGACATTAAATCTATGAGTCTTCTTTTTAACATTCACTTTTCCTCCGACATGAAATTCATACTCATATTTATATACCATCCCGTCTTTCTCTATTATATAAAATAAAATAAATTAAGAGATGATTTAGAGCATTAATGCGGATCCATACATACATGGCACACATATCTAAAATTGCATTTGCATGTAAAAAACACGTGGCACTCTCCTTCCCCAACACCTGTCATCCCTGTCTTCGTAGCACGTTTCATTGACAAACAAATGAATCATGAATCAGAACACACACTTTCTTTCCTCCATTGAATTTAGCCATAGAACTAAGGGTGAAAAACTGAAGAAGCACAGTACAACATAGCTATCTCTTTGAAGTTTTGAAGCTTACTTTTCATCCTATATCCAGTTAAGGTAAATATCTATCTTGCTTCTTACTCTTCTTTCATTCAGCTCATTTTCTGTTCCCTAGGATAGCTCAGGAAAGCACTTTATGTGAATGAAGTTTGACTATTTTATTTTTTGTTACAAAAACTAAATTATAGATAGTCACTTATATGATAGCCAGGTTTTAAAAAACGGTCGCATCGCGTAAAGGTTTTTGTGATTTCATTCGGTACAGGTGTATTGTGGTAGTTGCAGTGTGAATGAACTATAATTGTTTTTCTTCAATATAGAAAATAGCGATATCGGTATTTGCCAAAACTGTTTGTCGCGGCTGTATTTGCGGTTGCAGCCCGTTTTTTAAAACCCTGAGTGATAGCACTAATTATGTTGTTTATCCAAATAGGTAGGATATGATGGATTTGGAAGAAACAGAAGATGAAGATAGGGATACTATTATTACTAGTACAAGTCAAAACTGGTCTGAATCTGATGCCAATTGTGGCAACAAAGTGAACTGTATGTTGGAGAGGGGACTAAAAGTAGGGAGGAAGATGCTAGCTTTTTGTTTTGTAGCAAGTTCTGTTCCTCTAGTTGTTCCAGGTTTTTTAGTTGCTTCTGCTATTGGTCTTGTAGTTTCTGTGCCTTGTTGTTTCTTTTTGCTTAGCCATAGGTGCACTCAGAATGTAATGAGTAAGTTGCTACCTATGCCTAGTCTTTCTCCTCAAGATGTGTGTTTTAAGCAAGATATTGATGTTACATCTATAAACAAAGATGATGAAGCAAAGAGCGATAGCGAAATAGTTGACATAGTTGACGTTAATGAGGAAACTATGATATTGGATAATGATTGTGAGCACGGGGTTGTGAAAGAGGAGTTCGAGCCTGAATTGTCGCATCATTCAGGCGATGCCAATAATGTCATTCATGATGATGAGAAGACGGAAGGATACCTAAGTGGAGAAAGTAGTGAGGAGAGGCTAATGAGTAGAGGCACAATTATGGAGGGTTTTGATGAAACTGAAGAACTTAAAGCACCCTTTGAGTTTGGGGACGCGGGCGTTGTTTTAGAGGAATGTGAAGATGAGGTGAAAGAGGGTGATATAGAGGAAGAAGAGATGCAAAAAGAAACAAAAGGGCTATTAGAAAAAATTAGAGATGAGGGTAGGAATGATATGAGAGGAATTTCTAGTGGATTAAGTGAAAATGATCAAGATATTGGTCAAGTTGTTGAAAACATGGAAGAGAAACAGGATTTGGGGACGGATGGAGAAATGTGGAACCAAGAAGCTTCAAAACTATACGAGGAGACGGTCCAGTCAATAAACGACGATAGTAAAGATATTGTTTGCAATGACGGGGAATCATGTGAAACTACAAGAGGTATATTAGAGTTAGAGGATGATGGTTTGAATGATTCAAAGAAGCCGGTGGATGAAACTTCTGAGTTGCTGGATGGAAGAAGTTTACAAGATGAACCAATTGGCGATTTGATGAAAGAAATTCATGTTTTGGAAGCTGAGGACTCATCTGAAGTTGAGAAGCTCGAGCCTGCTATATCGTACCTTATGAATCAAGAAACAGAATTGAGTGAATATAACAAAAGAATGAACTCATCAGATGCAGATGCAAGAAAAATTGCTGATGAAATTGAGTTTCATTTGTGTGACGAAAACAAAATAGATGCGGAAGCGTACTCATGTACAATTGATTTGCATGAAGGTTAGGTCATAGTATATATTTATATATATGTATGCCATTTATTTTTAAGCCAATATCTAAATTTATTTATTTGCTTGCAGAACCTTCAAATGTGAAAGAGGAGTTCGAGCCTGAATTGTCACATCGTTCAAGTGATGTCGACAATGTTGTCCAGCACAATGGTTCTGAAGAAGACAACAATGACTATTTCGCTGAGGAGGAAGAGGAGGTGGAGGAGGAACCTTCATCACAAAATCATGATGATGAGAAGATGGAAGGACACCTAAGTGGAGAAAGTAGTGAGGAGAGGCTAATGAGTAGAGGCACAATTATGGAGGGTTTTGATGAGATTGAAGAACTTAAAGTACCCTTTGAATTTGGGGACGCAACGGTTGTTTTAGAGGAATGTGAAGATGAGGTGAAAGTGGGTGATATAGAGGAAGGAGAGATGCAAAAAGAAACAAAAGGGCTATTAGAAAAAATTCGAGATGAGAGTAGGAATGATATGAGTGGAATTTCTAGTGGGTTAAGTGAAAATGATCAAGATATTGGTCGAGTTGTTGAAAACATGGAAGTAGGACGGGAAGAGAAACAGGATTTGGGGACAGATGGAGATATGAGGAACCAAGAAGATTCAAAAGTTTACGATGAGATGGTTCACGATGATAATATGGTTAGTGTTTGCAATAAGGTGGAATCATGTGAACCTACAAGCGGTATATTAGAGTTAGAGGATGATGGTTCGAATCTTTCAAAGAAGCAGGTGGATGAAACACCTGAGTTGCTGGATGGAAGAGGTTTACAAGATGAACCAATTGGCGATTTGCTGATAGAAACACAGGTTCTTCATGTTTTGGTAGCTGAAGACTCATCTGAGGTTAAAGAACTCGAGCCTGCTATATCGAAGAAAGGGGAATTAGTTGAGAACATATCTAACCTTGTGAATCAAGAAACAGAATTGCGTGAATATAACAAAAGAATAAATTCGTCCGATGCAAATACAGATGCAAGAGAAATCACTGATGAAATAGAGTATCACACGTGTGACGAAAACAGAGTAGACGCGGAAGCGCACTCATATACAAATTTGCTTGCAGAACCTTCAAATGTTACAGTTGATATGCATACAGATTCAATGAAGGTTCTTGTTTCGTCCGAAGAACTGGAGTCCACCTCATCTAAATGTTCTTCTGAAAAAAACTTTGTTTGCCCTTCTGATGAGGTAGAGGCTTAATTTGCGTCTATTTTCATACAATCATCTTGTTACTAGATGATGACCATTCTGTGGTCAGAGTCATAGGCACAATAGGCCGAGGTCTGGGATCAAATATCGTGCGCTAACGGTTTGAGCTTTCGCAGGTTCTATTCAACGAGGAGAGCATATGGAAACAGATTCATACCGTCCGAAAGATAATAGGATATGAAGGTACAATCCAAGCATCATGTTCAGATGAATTGAAGGCTCTCTACATTTTCACTGGAGTTGAACCTCCCATTTTTGTCAAGGAGAACCCTTTCGACCCGGCCGAAATCAATGAAAAGCTTCACTTTCTCATGTCCATAGTAGGAATTAAGGTGACGGATTTGCCTTAGAGTGTTGGTGTGTGAGACATCCGTAAATTTCTTTTCTGATTTGTATAATAAGTTTCATTGTGTTTTCTTTCAAATTAACTATGTCTGTGGGTTGCTTTATGTTCATAAGTTAATGCAAGTGGAAGAGTATGTTGGAGTGTTTTTTGTTTCTCTTCATGCTTCAATGCTGGCCATGTTTTGAAAAACAAACTTGAAGTACATTGGAAAAGTGGAACCTAGTTGGTGTTGTACGGAATCATAATTCAATTTTAGAATCTATGGTGAAAATGATTTGCCTAATGTCTTGCCCTTTACCTCTGGTGCATAATAGAACTAGAGGAATTCTTGATGTTTTTGAGTTTTCATGATGCATACTTCTCAGATATCCACACTACATCTAAAAATGATGGTGATGTTAATTTCTCTTGGACAAAATTGATCAAGTTCATGCAATGCTTGTACTTTGACCTAGATAATGATTTGATGAACACATCTTTAAAATTGTCTTTTAAATTAATCTTTTCTATTACAATCTCGTTGAGTAAAGTTAGTATGCCTTCTTATGATACACTTGATGATTAATCAAATAAACTCTAAATATGCTATGTTCTCTTATGATACACTTGATAATTAATCAAATAAATTCTATTTTGACTGTGTAAATAATGCAGTGTTTATTTGCCTTCAAATTAATAGTCACCACAAATAATGTAAATACAAAATTCGATAAGGATTTTTTTAGTTCATAATGTCTTTTATTGACTAAATGACTTCAAAGACAAAAAGAGGGTGAGGTTAATCATGTCATTCAAAAATAGAAGTTTATTTATAAAAACTTTAGTTTTTAAAATCTTATACTAATTTGATAAACTTAACTATTTGACCTACTCTTGAAAGTTCTACTAAAATCTAACTTGAACTTTTACAAGATCATTTAAAACAATTTCCAAAAGAGTTTTTACGCAAGCTTAACTTAAGAACTAACAAATAAAACTTTTACACAAACTTATTTCAAGAATCCATAAATAGAGTTTTTATATGGACTCAACTTAAAAACCATCACAAAAACTTCTACGAAGTTTATCTTGTAACTTTTAAGTCTTTTACAAAAGATATTCTATAAAAGAATGACACTCTTGAATACAATAGATTAAGCACAATATCAAATACAACAAAAATTTAAAAAAGACTTTTTTTAGTCTTTCATCACTACGATAATTCTCACGAAAAATAAATTTCAAAAATAGAGAGTAAAAGAAAAATAGAGAAACTTCTATTCAGAAATTTGATGTAAAATAGGATGAAGAGAAACCTCCTTCATATATAAACAATTTTGGCTCAAAAAAGGAACTCATACGTGGTCTAATTAATCGATTAAATCGATTAAATCACGTGTTTAACGATTAACACACTTCAAAAGGTGGCAATCCAAAATCATAAAAGGAATTCCCAAACAACTTTATGAATTAGTCGATTAATCGTTTTTCTAATTGATTAGAAGGTCTTTCATATTTTCTTAATCGATTGGACCATGTCCTTAATCGATTAGACTGTGAATTACTTACCAAATTGATTATAAACATTTATTAATCAATTTCATACATGCCTTGATAGGTTTTCAAAAATGTAATTAAATCATATAGGGTTTGAAAGATTTTTCATGTGTGTTTCTGTAATTATCTTAGTACTTTAAGACTTACTCTTGTCCTTTTATAATTTAAATTGACCAGTCTAAGATGCTAAGTGCGAGATCAGATGAGCTTTTACACTTTCTCACTTTTAAACTTCAAGATCCTTTGTTTGATTTAACGATTGATTAGAACTTCAATCGAATCTTTGAATCATTTGGATGATAAGGCTTGAGATATCTTCTTCTTGATAAGATGCCATCATAAAAAAAGATTAGACAATTGATATCAATTTCCTCTTTGATAATTGTCACAAGGAACTCTTGAATAGAGTATTCAACATCTCAAAGTCGTTTGACTTATGGAGTTTCTTCTTTAGAATTTGTTTGATGATTGTCATAAAATGTCATCATCAAAACAAACTAAAGGTTATAACTTCATAGCACATAAATTCATCTTTCCCTTGAGTTGCCTTTGCATATTTCAAATCACCCTTCAAGAAACCATTCAAATACATTAATATCCATTTTAAGGCATCCCAATCTCGACTCGAAGCTTCTGTAAACCGACTTACTATGCTAATTTGATATGTCATGTTTGGTCTACTACAAATGATACCTTACGTGATGTTTCAAACTCCAGTTTCATAGAGATTCATCTTCATCATCTTTTTCTCTTCTAATGTTTCAAGACATTCCACAATTGAAAATCTTAATGAAATGACCTAAAAGCGTGTTGACGGACTTATGATCAAACATTCTAAATTTCTCACCCACTCTCTCTAAGTAACTATATTGAGATAAGAACAATTCATTAATTTTACAGTTTCTCATGATATGTATCTCTTAGATCCTTTTAGATTCACCAATATCTTTCATCTCTAAATCTCTATTTCACTGCTCATTAAACTTACAAATATCTTTCTTTGTATGAATTTCTCTTAAGATATCATCAACATATGTAATTACAGAGAAAATGATTTTCTTATTCCTCTTTAATATGTATACACAAGTATCATAACCACTTCTCACAAAATCATTTTCTAAAAGAAATTTATCAAACTGACGATACCATCGTCTATGATCATGTTTCTACCCACACAAATATTTCTTTAAAAGATACACCTTAGACTTGTCCTTTATAAAACCTTCATGTAAATTGTCTCTTTAAGGTTTCCATGCAAAAAAGCGATTTTGACATGCATTTGTTCCAACTCAAAATTATATTACTTAATAGTCATAAACACTCTTATAGAGAAATGTTTTACCATAGATGAAGGGATTTCATTGTAATTAATTACATACACTTTAGTAAAACTCTTTGCTACAAGCTTTGTTTTATACACTAGTTCTTCAATTTTTGAAATACCTTTTTTACTCTGATTTTAGTCGAATGTTTTTAGCTCAACGTTTTTTGTAACTCATTATTGTTTTTTAGGTGAATGTTATTTGTTGGTCATTGTAGTTTTTTATCTGATTGCTTTTTTACCTATTTGTTGTTTGTAGCTATTTTTTGTTTATATTAATTTGTTATTTTGTCTAAATGTTGTTACTATCTGAATGTTATTTTTATGTGAATGTTGTTTTTATCTAAAGTTGTTTTTCTCAACATCTAAGTTTTGATTTTATCTGCACATATGATTTTCGTTTTTATCTCCACATCTGAATTTTGTTTTTATCTCAACATCTAAGTTTTGATTTTATCCCATTGGAATATCTTGAGTTACTTGACTCCTTCATGGGAAAGACACTTGCCTTTCGAGTCAAAGTACAACCACCACTACTATCAAATAGACATTTTGTAACACCATATTATAACTACCTTCCTGTCAACCATGGTAATAATTATTTTTTGGTTTTTTTTTTTTTTTTGTATTTACTAAAGGACATTTGGTTGTGTTTATAGTTAACAATCATAGTAAAATGTACCTGGAGTGAAATGGTTCGAATACCAACACCAAAAAAATTTTATTTATCGTGATAAAATGGGCTTGACCTTGTATACCACCATGGTTCTTATAAATAGTAGTAGTGTAAGGTTCAATCATTTCATCATAGTTCTTATTACCAGCCATGGTGAAAGGTGTTACATATTTATATATAAGGCAAATAATCTCTTGCTTCAGGACATAACATCCATCTCTCTCAAAACAAAACTCAAACATTGATGTTTGAGTTTTTGACTGAGTGCGCAGTAAGTCAAAACTAGTTTGAAACCTATTTGCAAAATACAATTAATTAGTTTAGTTTATTGCAAAAATAGTTTGATAATTGATTTGTGTTTTTTAGTCGTATTATTTGCGAAGATCTTGATTAATACATGATCAGAAAAGATTTAATGCAAATAGTATATAAAAATAATATATGTAATTTTAATATAAAAATAATTTATTGATCATATAGTAATATTTAAATAGTGAATAAAATATAGGAATAATAATATTTATATAAAAGGGATTATAAATAATCATATAATAATAGTAAAAAGTCAAGTAATTATAGTAATATATATAATTAAAAAAATATAATAATGATAATAAAAAAATTCATGATTTGATAATAATAATTATTATAATTAAAATATATTTATAAAATAGAAATAATAAAATAATTGAATTGTAGAAATAAATAAAGGAATTAAATCACGGGGGTGCAATTTATGTTAATAAGTAAAATAAAGGGGTGTTAAAAGAGTCATGTTAGGCCCAAATATGTCTTTGACAAAGGGGGGTGTAAAATATTTTGGAGTTTAATAATATGCAGCTAGGGGGTGCATAGCATCTGGGCTTGGCCCATTGTTTATTTTGGCAAGCCAGAATGATCTGTGTTGTGGGGGAGTATAGGCTTATGGTGGACTTGGCCTTACGACCGTCCACCGGTAATCACGTGGATGGGATTTTAAGGCGCATATTAGTTATGGTGGTCGTACGCGTACAAGATCCAAGCGGTAACTAACGATTGTTTTTTATATTCATTTTCAATGGTTGGCTTTACAATAAGCTTCATCTCTCTTTCTCGCTCGCAGTACCACCCTTTCACTCTTTCACTTGTCTCTCTCAAAACAAAACCCTAACATCTCTATCACTCATCTCTCTCATATGAAAACCCCAAACTTAAGCAGTGAACTCGTCTTCTTCGAAGGATCACCTTTGCATCAAATCTTAGGAAATGACTACCTTACAGGTTCTTCTTCATAATAGTTTATGTTTTGAAGTTTGTTTATGTATTTTTGTTTACGTTTCAATAGCTTGTTTCATAATGTTTGAACATTTCCTTGTTTTGACTTATAGGTAGGGATGATGAATGAAAAAAATTAATGAGAATGAAGATAAAGTGAGTGTTGCAAACTTGTGTGAAAGATCCATAATGATATTCATTTAAAATTAACACAAGT